TGTTTGTTACTGGTAGAGGAGTTTTTTTGAGGGATGAGGAGGTGTAGGTATGGTATGGTAGGGGATAGACACATCAGAGTTCAGATATTGGAGGGGGCAATACACACGAAGGGGTGGGGGATGGAAGAACAAGGTAGATAGGGGAACACTAAGGCTGGGCTAAATGGAACAGAGATAAATAGTGATGTATGTTAAACCTTAGAATAAGAGGGCTCGTTGATCCAGGGATCGAGGCATAGTCTGCAGAGGGGAAATAATGTAAAGATTCTTGACTGTCTTATGAATATAGGTTTCCCTTGCCTACTAGTGTAAAATAGAAACTTGAGTGTGATAGAAAGAAATATTGGGAAACATGATTACAGAAAGCTTGTAAGCCCGTCTTCAGCCTATAACTGATTGGAATACCTAATGGTGGTGGTGATGGTGGTTATGTGCCATGGAGTTGGTTCCAACTCATAGCAACCCTGTACAGGGTTTCCATTCAGGAAGAGGTAGAAAGTGAGATGGGGTTCTAAAGCACAATTGAGAAGAATTCATCCTGAAATTTTAAATTTAGGAGTGAGATTTAGGGACGTTGTGCTGTGGAATCTCTGTTCCATTATTAGTGATCTCAGGAAGTAGGTAAGATGCTCTGTAATGGTGAATCATTCACAGAATGACATGCTAGATGATTATGTAGAATGCAGAGATCTTTAGGAATAAGCTGGTAAACAAATAGTCCTTTAGCTAGTACAGGCTTTGCTTTCCAAACGTCCTTTTACGGAAAGGAATCAGAAGTTAAATAAACACATCTGGTCTCTGTTTTAATAAATGTGATGCACACCACCAAATAGATCCTAGTATAGTTAGAATTGTGTTGAATAAAGTAATTGTTAAAATTTTAACCAGTTCTAACTGTACTTATTGAGTTGTATTAGTACTACTAACATAATAGAGACACTTCAGTTGCCAAGTCTTCAAATTGTCCAGCAGGAACCCAGCCCACATCTCCTCAAAGGTTCATTGTACCCAAAGCTCTGAGTAGTGAGTAGGCAGGAGGAAGCTCCTCGGTTTGAAGATTTTTGTCTCACTTCCTCACTGGCTCCAAGCACTGTGCAAGCACTGAGACCTTTGTCCCAGGCTGCACAGAAATAATCAGCCTCATCTTCCAGTTCGAGTCCAGAAATGGTCAGGGTGGCCACATTGCCAGACCTGGAGCCAGAGAACCTCTCTGAGATCCCTGGGTGCCGGTTATTATTCCTGTATATAAGAGTTTGGGGTCCCTGACTCTCACGCTGCTGAACCCATCCTGCACCCTCATAACCTACATTATTGCTGTCTCCAATGCAGGTGATTTTGATTGTCTCTTTCAGCCCCTTAGACACTGAGGACGGCTGAGTC